AGTTCATTCTGCAGAATTCAGCAAACATGAGGAGTTTTAAGGGAGAAATAGGATTTCTTAGGTCAAAAGAAGAGGAGTTTGGGAAACAGAGTAGTCCAGTCTGACCAGAATGGAGGAGACAAGATAGGAAGTAAAAGAGGAAAAGCATTTGAGGCCACATTGTAGAATGCCTTCAACGCCAGAGTTTTTTTTCCGTGGGTAATGTGAGGGGAGGATTAAAGTGATGTTATAGAATGATGAAGACTCAGAATCTCCCATCCCACATGTTCCTTTTACAATGTGGCATGAATGCTTTCCCATTGAAAGGTTCTACGTCCCCTTGCCCTGAAGCTGGGTGGGCCTCTTGCTACAATGGAAGTAACATCTTGTGACTTCCAAAGGTAAGTCATAAAAGATGATATAGTTTGTCTTGTCTTCTTGGGATGGTGGTTGTTAGAACCCAGGCACTGTGCTGTGAGGGAGTAGAGACCACATGGAGAGGTGTTTGGCCAATAGCCTGGATGAGGTCCCAGCATTACCTGCCAGATATGTGAGTGAAGATTCCTCCAGATGATTCTAGTCCCCAGTCATTGAGTCTCCCCCAACCACCAAATCTCCCCCAGCATTCACGTCTTACCAGCTGAAGCCCCAGGCATATGGTGCAGAGTCAGGCTGTCCCAAGGCCTGTCTGAATTCATGACCCGCAGAAACCATGAGATAATAAAAATGATTGTTTGAGGTTTTAAGCCACTAAGTTGTTGGTTAAATTGTCACATTGTGCTAGCAATGTATGTAACTAGATTTTTTATCTGCCTCTAATATGAAGGATGTAGGTTGGAGAGACTAAGGATAAGAAGACCAGAAAGTAAAGTTCTGTTGCAGTCTAGAGGGGATAAAATCCTGGACAGAAAAAGATACTTGCAAGAGCAGAGCCTTTGCCAGATATATGGTATTGATTCCCAAATCTAGAACTGGGTTTTCTCCTGTTGAAATAAATTTTTAGGCCAAAAATGGAGCTGCTCCTGCCCAGGGTGCCACATTAGCAAACCGAACTTTCCTGTTCCTGTAAATGCTCCGCTTGACCAGAAATGCAGTATATCCAGTCAGCTGATCCCCAAATGGCAAGCCAACTCTGAGCTCTATGTTTATTTCCTTGATCTTTCTAAATAAGGTCAGATATACAACCCCAGCCAATCATGCCCTGTCTCTGTGTTGCTACTTCTAACACTATAAAACTCGCTCTTGCCCCAAATCCCTTGGGACGAGTGCTCTGTACTCCCCCAATCCGTGGACTGTTTTCCCTTGAATAAAGGACATCCACCTGGTTACTAAATTGGTTTAATTTTGTCATTTGACACTCCTCATTGGTTGACAGGACAAGGACTGGCACTTGTAGAAGTGCGTTCATTCTTGTAGTTCATCCAACACAGCTTTATTAAGGGTCTGCTAGGGACTCAGTGTGCAGCTAGGTCCTGAAGATAATATGAAATAAATATTATTCAATTTATGCCACCAAAGAGTTTATAAACTACATGGAACTGATTGATTGGAGATAAGCTAGGACAACCCCAAAGAGTAAAATATCAATGCAAGGCATCACATATTGAAATATGGAAATAGTACTTGGCAATATTTGCATTAGGAATTCAGTGAAGGGGAATCCATGTTAGCAGGAGCAAGCAAGAGGGAAATCCGTAGAGTTTCATGATATAAGAGAAGGAACACTGGTCTGGGAGTGAAATCCAAGTGTCAGTCCATTTCTCTGGCCCTAATTTCCTGAATAGTCAAGCAAGATAAAAATCATAATCCTTTAAAATTTGAGAAGCATAAGTGCTTTCAGGTAATGATCTCATTTGATTCTAACAAAGGTGTGTGTGTGCGCACGCGTGCGTGTGCGTGGATAGGAGGAAGGATAGGAGGGGAGAATGAGAGAAGTAGTATGGGACGCCGGTCCTGGGTCTCTTTGAGCAAATTATTCAACTTTTTAAGCATCTATTTCATCTGAAAATGGGGATTAATCATAACATTACTTCTCTCATGGGTTTGCTGTGGAGATTAAATGAGATTAAAGCACGTAAAATACTGTGATATAGTAAGAAATATGTGCTTGGTCTTCTAAAAACCAAAAAACCCTTGTAATTTCCGGAGTGGTAGGGGAGAGAGGAACGTCTTTTGCTATTCTAATAAGCCCCTTTCAACTACACCTGAATTTATGCTAATGAGGTGACTCTTGGAAGATGCGGACTGGTTGCCAGAGGAACCAACCAGGTGATTAGAGGGCTGGAACTTTCAGCCTCATCCCTGAACCTCTGGGGAGGGGGTAGGGGCTGGAGATTGACATAATCACCAATGGCCAATGATTTAATCAATCTTGCCTATATAATGAAGCCTCCATAAAAACCCTAACCAAAAGGGTTCGAGAGCTTCTGGGTTGATGAACACATCTACGTGCCAGGAGGGTGGTGCACCCCAACTCCATGGGGATAGAAGCTCCTGTGTTCAGGAACCTTCTGGACCTCGCTGTATGTACCTCTTCCTATGGCTGTTCATCTGTATCCTTTATTATTATATCCTTTATAATAAACTGATAAACATAGTAAGTTTTTCCCTGAGTTCTGTGAACCGTTATAGCAAATTATCAAACTTGAGGAGGGGGTCGTGGGAACCCCCAACTTATAGCTAGTTGGTCAGAAGTACAGGCGTCTCAAGTGGAGGCAGTTTTGTGGGACTGAGCCCTTAACCTATGAGGTCTGTATTAACTTTGGGTAGTTAGTATCAGAACTGTTTAATGTAAGGGAAAAATTCACATACTTGGTATCAGAAGTGTTGTGAGAGTAGAGAAAGAGTTTTCTTTTAAATACTTAGTGCTCAATAAATATTGGTTTTTATTATATATTATTAAAAACTTAAGGTAGGAAGGAAAGGGATTATGATCGCCATTTACTGATCTAAAATTCTGATTCCTAAGAATAAGATCACTGATTGAATATAAGAGAGGCAAATAAAAGAATTACTCCAGGGGCCAGCCTGGTGGCGTAGTTGTTAAGTTTGTGTGCTCTGCTTTGGCAGCCTGGGGTTCACAGGTTCGGATCCCGGGTGTGGACCTGCGCACTGCTCATCAAGCCATGCTGTGACAGGTGTCTCACATATAAAGTAAAGAAAGATGGGCACAGATGTCAGCCCAGGGCCAATCTTCCTCAGCAAAAAGAGGAGGATTGGCAACAGATGTTAGCGCAGGGCTAATCTTCCTCACCACAAAAAAAAAAAAATTACTCCAATATTTTGAGTTTGGGTAACCCGGAATGTGGTTCATTCATTTAGTAAATATTTATTAAGTCTCTACAATGTGCCAAGCACTGTACTAAGAACTTTGCATTATTCTCTATGAAATCCTTACAACTAACTCTATGAGATAGGTATTATCATTACCCTAACTTTGCAGATAAGGAAATTGAGGTGCAGAGAATTTAAAGATGAATACAAGAATGATACAACTGAACGACACAAGACAATTCAGAGATTGTACAGCAAGATCTACACACCTGCTTTGGGAGTATAGATAGGTCGGTTGGTAGGTAGGTAGATAAAGAGACATAGAATCAGTGCCGATTCATATATATTGAAAGAGATAACTACTGAGAGGGTGTTTGAATGGCCAGCATTCTAGACTTGAGTCGTCTGTAGAGAATGGATAGTTAAAACCATGAGACTAAGTAAACAGCCATTTACTAAATCATACTAAGGGAGACATGAAGAGAAATCAGTGAAGGAACTACACTAGTGTAATTAAAGTCAAGTGTACAGTGAGCTACAGTTCACCAATACTACATGTTCATACGAAAAGAAACATATTGGGGCCGGCCCGGTGGCACAAGCAGTTAAGTGTGCGTGCTCTGCTGCGGCGGCCCGGGGTTCGCTGGTTCGGATCCTGGGTGTGCACTGACGCACTGCTTGGCAAGCTATGCTGTGGCGGCGTCCCATATAAAGTGGAGGAAGAT